TCTATCTATCTATCTATCTATCTATCTATCTATCTATCTATCTATCTATTTATCTATCTATTTATCTCTATCTATCTATCTATCTATCTATCTATCTATCTATCTATCTATCTATCTATCTATCTATCTAATCTATCTATCTATCTATCTATCTATCTATCTATCTATCTATCTATCTATCTATCTATCTATCTATATCTATCTACGATCTATCTATCTATCTATCTATCTATCTATCTATCGATCTATCTATCTATCTATCTATCTATCTATCTATCTACTATCTATCTATATATATATCTATCTATCTATCTATCTATCTATCTATCTATCTATCTATCTATCTATCTATCTATCTATATATCGATATCTTAATTTTTACCAAAAGTAGCTATAACTTATAATTCCATAGGAAATTCAATAAATCCTTTTTATATAAAAAACATTTTCAAACAGAGTTGCTGTTATTACTAATAAAGCGCATGCTCTAAAAATATCCTTTCTTTGTTATCGCTCTTCCCAAAAGGATATGTCAAACTCTTTTTATCTATAAAATCCTACAAAAGTTTGACGTCATTAACAGCAATAGAAACGCGTATTTCAATAAAAAATTACTAAAACACCAAACAAATTCCGATAAAACTCCATAAAATTAATACAAAATAATGAAGTTAACTTTAAGTCGTTATCGTATATTATTATCCTTGCAATTTACTTTACTTCTGGCCGATTATTTTTCAATACATTTTCTCATCTTTTATTGTCACCAAAACTGCAGTTGACCATATTGTTGTTTGTGTAAGTTGAAAGGGACAATAACAAGTTTTTAGTTAATTGATTTTTTTCTTCTTTTGGTATATAGGACACAGGATTTATTTATAATATGTGAATATTTGTTTTTTACTTTTGCTGTACATGCCACCTGTGTTTATGAGGTAAATTTTAGATTCAAAACAAACTGTTTATATTTACATTTGAGAAATAATATTTTCTTTGTTTTTAACAGGTTGGAGCAACTCATGTAATCTTAAGGAATTGTAAACTTTTCCTTTTCACCATACTTTTGTATTTCCTGTTGTCGGTTTCACAGCATTTCTGGTTTGTTTACAATGTTTGTGGTATCCGATGGCCAATTGGCCCACAACTCTAAAGGCTTTGTCGTTTGTGCAAAGAACTGGTGAGTCCTTTACAAATAACTGAAAACAGTCAATCTTATATCTTAATATCTCTTTATTGCAGTTTCATTTTTTTATTATTATACATATAAACGCACCGCTTTAACTTTATCTGATCCTCGTTTTTATGAAGAAAATATTGATTGGATTGCTGAGCAATTAAGTAATAAATAAATGTTATTTGTAAATATGTTTAGGTGGAATCTATATGTATAGAGTAATTATTATTTTTTTAAAATCAAAATACTTTTTGCAAAATATTGATGTTAATGTGATTAAAATGTTTAGTAACCATATGTTTTAGTTAAATAAAAAAAAAAATAATAAAAATATACTGTGATCACAATATATGAAACAATTTTATTTAAATTAGATTTTAAAAACATTAATTTAACGATAAGTATACCTTTAAAAATCTCCAGTTATTGATCAGTTATTAACACAAAGTTTAAAAACGTTAATGATATTTTTATACAGACAACTTAAGTCATCGATAATTTAAAAAAATTCTTTATGTAAATTGGATATTTTTTTTAAACTTGTTATCTACAATATATCTATAGATAAGTTATCGATAATTTTTCTAATGAAACATTTAGTTATCGGTAACTTTAATATCGATAATTTTATGGTAGAAAAATTTACATATGTATCTTATTTCTATATAAAAATTCAGGTATCGATGTTTTCTTATAAAAATTAGTTACCGATTATTAGTTAGCTACCGATAATTTTCCAAACATATTTTTTTATTTTTCTATGCAGTTCTCTATCAGTTCTTTGAGAAAATTGAGGTTATCGATATTCTTTCAATAGAAAAATACAGTTATCGAAATTTTTCTGCAGAAAATTATCAATAGCTTACTAAAAATTCATCGATTTACTCCTTACTTACTACTTACTTACTTACTTACTTACTTTTACTTACTTACTTACTTACTTACTTACTTACTTACTTACTTACTTACTTACTTACTTACTTACTTACTTACTTACTTACTTACTTACTTACTTACTTACTTACTTACTTTACTTACTTACTTACTTACTTACTTACTTACTTACTTACTTACTTACTTACTACTTACTTACTTACTTACTTACTTACTTACTTACTTACTTACTTACTTACTTACTTACTTACTTACTTACTTACTTACTTACTTACTTACTTACTTACTTACTTACTTACTTACTTACTTACTACTTACTTACTTACTTACTTACTTACTTACTTACTTACTTACTTACTTACTTACTTACTTACTTACTTACTTACTTACTTACTTACTTACTTACTTACTTACTTACTTACTTACTTACTTACTTACTTACTTACTTACTTACTTACTTACTTACTTACTTACTTACTTACTTACTTACTTACTTACTTACTTACTACTTACTTACTACTTACTTACTTACTTACTTACTTACTTACTTACTTACTTACTTACTTACTTTTACTTACTTACTTACTTACTTACTTACTTACTTACTTACTTACTTACTTACTTACTTACTTACTTACTTACTTACTTACTTACTTACTTACTTACTTACTTACTTACTTACTACTACTTACTTACTTACTTTACTTACTTACTTACTTTACTTACTTACTTACTTCTACTTACTTACTTACTTACTTACTTACTTACTTACTTACTACTTACTTACTTACTTTTACTTACTTACTTACTTACTTACTTACTTACTTTACTTACTTACTTACTTACTTACTTACTACTTACTTACTTACTTTACTTACTTACTTACTTACTTACTTACTACTTACTTACTTACTTACTTACTTACTTACTTACTTACTTACTTACTACTTACTTACTTACTTACTTACTTACTTACTTACTTACTTACTTACTTACTTACTTACTTACTTACTTACTTACTTACTTACGGTACTTCTACTTACTTACTTACTTACTTACTTACTTACTTACTTACTTACTTACTTACTTACTTACTTACTACTTACTTACTTACTTACTTACTTACTTATTTAAGTTCTCGATATTCAGTTATCGGTCAACCTTTTTATAGAAAATTGTACTTATCGATATTTTTATCGAAATCTTACCTTCAAATTTAACAACATTTCGGTCCTTTCTGGGAGTTGAGAACCTTTAAAATATGTCTTCCTTATAATAACAGCTGACTCCTTGCGATTACCTATTGCTGCTTCCACCATTACTTGTTGAATTCATATTCCTTCTTAACAATATATTTATTTAATTACCTGGTGTTTTGTGTATAATTTCACTAAATATTGCGAATATTTATTAAAAATGTTTTACTTTTTTAAACAAATTATTATAACTAAGTTTTTTCTGGATTTAAATATATGTATAAAGAGGGTAAATTGATATAGTTGATAGATAATTTTAGGGCTTTGAGATATATTTAGTTACTGCTTACATTTTTATATATTCTTTTCGAGTTTGTATTTACAAAAATAGGTAATAGTTTTAAAAAAATACTTTAGAGAGAACCATTATGAAATTTTGAAGGGTTTTTAGTTTAGTGAAATGTTTTGCATACATATTTGCCAAGACCATTTTGGACCTAGACAAATTTGTATTTTTATTTAAGGGAGCCAAATAACAAAAAATAAATCTTAATTATTTACAAATTTAAGTAAAGAAAAAAAAAAAAAACAAAAAATATAAAGAAAAAATTGGACAAAGTTTTACAAACATAAAAGCATTTATAACTAAAAACAAAAAATTATATAATTAAATTAACTCAATTCCTATGCATTTATCAAGGGTACACCGAATAATTTCTCCCATGATTGTGCTATAGAATTTAAACAGGTATTAGCATTTTCCGCTGTTTGAAATGTGCACTTCCAGAGTTCACATTTATCTTGGGTTTCATCTAAGAAATTAATGATAAATACATTATCCGCACAATGCTCCACCTCAACTAAATTAGACATGAATTGCGTAACGCATAATTCAATATCCGAGTCATGGTTTAAAACAGATAGCCAATCTAGCTTTTCCGAACTCAAATAAATACGTGAGTCGGTGGTTAAAAGGCCACAAATGTTAAAGGAGCGTTTAGCATTTTCACATGAAATTTCACAGCCATTTAGTAAAGAGCACATATTTAGTTGTTCATCAATAACGGCGGCACTAAGACGTTTAGTTAATACATCAGCCGGTTGGTATTTCAATTCACAAAGAGAAGGCAGAGCATTATCTAAAAGTTGTTTTATTATAAAAAAAGTTATTTCATTTTAAAAATTATTTTAAATTCAAACTTACTGGCAAAAAATAACATTAAGGAATCTGTTCTTAATATATCCTGCAACAATAATAAGAAACCACCCCAATCATTGAGATAAAATGATAAACCCATTTTCCAGGGCAACAATTGTATGGCATCCAAACGATCTACTGTGCAACTTATAGTGGTTTTCAACCATTTGGCAACATCATCATTTTCCTTGGCATATGCCTCCATAACATATAATTTGCAGGTCGACATTACCACCACGCCATCACTTAATTTTTTATTGGTCTCATTGAAAATGCGTCCCCTAACAATCCATTTGAAATGTTCATCTTTTTCGAATTTGGTTTGATAAAAATATAATTTTAAACGATGATCGATATCGTTGAAGTCGGTATAATTGAATTTATACTGTGTACCGGAGGTAGATTTGTTTGTGTTGCTACTGCTAATATTGGAGGAGTTTGTAGGTAAGGCAGTACCCGATTTAACATTCGATAAAGTTTCTGAATCAATAAGTTTTTTGGAACTGGTCATTAAAATGTTGGTCGACTGCATGAGAGCTAAAATATTTGTAATTAATTAATAGTAAGTAAGTAAGTAAGTAGTAAGTAAGTAAGTAAGTAAGTAAGTAAGTAAGTAAAGTAAGTAAGTAAGTAAGTAAGTAGTAAGTAAGTAAGTAAGTAAGTAAGTAAGTAAAGTAAGTAAGTAAGTAAGTAAGTAAGTAAGTAAGTAAGTAAGTAAGTAAGTAAGTAGTAAGTAAGTAAGTAAGTAAGTAAGTAAGTAAGTAAGTAAGTAAGTAGTAAGTAAGTAAGTAAGTAAGTAAGTAAGTAAGTAAGTAAGTAAGTAAGTAAGTAAGTAGTAAGAGTAAGTAAGTAAAGTAAGTAAGTAAGTAAGTAAGTAAGTAGTAAGTAAGTAAGTAAGTAAGTAAGTAAGTAAGTAAGAAGTAAGTAAGTAAGTAAGTAAGTAAGTAAGTAAGTAAGTAGTAGTAAGTAAGTAAGTGTAAGTAAGTAAGTAAGTAAGTAAGAAGTAAGTAAGTAAGTAAGTAAGTAAGTAAGTAAGTAAGTAAGTAAGTAAGTAAGTAAGTAAGTAAGTAAGTAAGTAAGTAAGTAAGTAAGTAAGTAAGTAAGTAAGTAAGTAAGTAAGTAAGTAAGTAAGTAAGTAAGTAAGTAAGTAAGTAAGTAAGTAAGTAAGTAAGTAAGTAAGTAAGTAAGTAAGTAAGTAAGTAAGTAAGTAAGTAAGTAAGTAAGTAAGTAAGTAAGTAAGTAAAGTAGTAAGTAAGAAGTAAGTAAGTAAGTAAGTAAGTAAGTAAGTAAGTAAGTAAGTAAGTAAGTAAGTAAGTAAGTAAGTAAGTAAGTAAGTAAGTAAGTAAGTAAGTAAGAAGTAAGTAAGTAAGTAAGTAAGTAAGTAAGTAAGTAAGTAAGTAAGTAAGTAGTAAGTAAGTAAGTAAGTAAGTAAGTAAGTAAGTAAGTAAGTAAGTAAGTAAGTAAGTAGTAAGTAGTAGTAAGTAAGTAAGTAAGTAAGTAAGTAGAAGTAAGTAAGTAAGTGTAAGTAAGTAAGTAAGTAAGTAAGTAAGTAAGTAAGTAAGTAAGTAAGTAAGTAAGTAAGTAAGTAAGTAAGTAAGTAATAAGTAAGTAAGTAAGTAAGTAAGTAAGTAAGTAAGTAAGTAAGTAAGTAAGTAAGTAAGTACTAAGTAAGTAAGTAAGTAAGTACGTAAGTAATAAGGTAGTAAGGTAAGTAAGTAAGTAAGTAAGTAAAGTAAGTAAGTAAGTAAGTAAGTACGTAAGTAAGTAACGTAAGTAAGTAAGTAAGTAAGTAAGTAAGTAAGTAAGTAAGTAAGTAAGTAAGTAAGTAAGTAAGTAAGTAAGTAAGTAAGTAAGTAGTAAGTAAGAGTAAGTAAGTAAGAAGTAAGTAAGTTAAGTGAGTAAGTAAGTAAGTAAGTAGTAAGTAAGTAAGTAAGTAGTAGTAAGTAAGTAAGTAAGTAAGTAAGTAAGTAAGTAAGTAAGTAAGTAAGTAAGTAAGTAAGTAAGTAAGTAAGTAGTAAGTAAGTAAGTAAGTAAGTAAGTAAGTAAGTAAGTAAGTAAGTAAGTAAGTAAGTAAGTAAGTAAGTAAGTAAGTATAGTAAGTAAGTAAGTAAGTAAGTAAGTAAGTAAGTAAGTAAGTAAGTAAAGTAAGTAAGTAAGTAAGTAAGTAAGTAAGTAAGTAAGTAAGTAAGTAAGTAAGTAAGTAAGTAAGTAAGTAAGTAAGTAAGTAAGTAAGTAAGTAAGTAAGTAAGTAAGTAAGTAAGTAAGTAAGTAAGTAAGTAAGTAAGTAAGTAAGTAGTAAGTAAGTAAGTAAGTAAGTAAGTAAGTAAGTAAGTAAGTAAGTAAGTAAGTAAGTAAGTAAGTACCCTTCAAAACTTATTCACATACATGATTCATTACGGTAGTCCCCAAACCACTCCTCTTAAGACATTTTTTGTTTAACATTTTCTTGTAATGCAGGCATTACGTAGGATCATGTTGACTTTCAAGGAGTAGTTTTGTGGTCTCTCCTAGTGTTGAAAAGTTAAATGGAACATGTTTTTTTAATAATTGTATTTGTTTCAGACCAGTCCTACTCACTTACGGAGTACTTTATACATACGAGTAGGGGATAGTTTTTCTTTTTGTAGGATATTCCAGGGTATTTCCCATTCAATTAAAAAAATTCCGAAACTTACCTCCAAAAATCGATGATAATCCCGTATTTTCTTCTTTCTTAGCAGCATTTTGTGAATTTGTCTTTCCATTAGTTTCTTGCTGAAGAAACTCTTTTACTGATTCCTTCTTATCTTCACTCGATTGCGAAGCCTTCTCTGGCTTTTGTTCATAGGCCGTACAAATACTATCCGTTACTGAGCCAGAGGAACTACTCTCCGTTAGATTATTATGAACCATATTGTTAGAAGATTTTTTAGGCGGTATCTCCGAATCTATCTTCTCCTGAGCACCTGATACAGCATCCTGTTGTTCCATTTCATTATATACCTCCAATTTGTCTTTGTCCTTATTAGCATAGTTAATCATATTATCAAATTCACGCTCTAAGAAAGTTTGGGTATAACTTTGATCATCGATAGTCTCCAAATTGGGTACATGAGCAATGCTGCGACGTTCTTCCCAGTTTTTGCGACTAGCACAAGGATCTAAGACTTCTATGCTCGATTGGCTAGGATTAGAGATGATGTCAACGTCACTTTCACCATTAGTTTTAAAATCTAAATCACGATCAGTGTTTGAACTGCCCACCAAAGATTGATTTGAATTGAAAGAGCTTTCAGAATGAGAGGTGGCGGTAATTTTAGAACAGGAGGATTCATTAAGTGAATTAGCAGAACCTAAAGTAGAGATATTAAAGTTAACAATTTGGGATTAAAAAAGCCAAGCGTTGAAAAATATTTAATAAAAAAGAAACATTGGAATGTTAGTAACCAAATGTTAGAATTAAGTTTGCTTTGAAATGAAATTGTTTTGTTAAATTTTGTCTCTTTTTTTCTATACAAAACCAATGCTTCTTGGGGATTTTTTGTATTAAAGCATATATATATATTTTAATATACAAAAAGTGATATTAACTTTTTAGAGTTTGCTTCAGCGTCCTACTATGCAGTGGATTGTTAGCAGAAAGCCTTGCGTTGCCTTTACCTTTTAAGACCAGTAGGTAGGTAGGTTGGTAGTAGTATTTTGTTAAGTTAAAGGAGAGTATGTATGTATGTTTTTTTTTACAATATATAAAAAGAAGAGAGCACATTAAATCAATCAATTCAATTAGTTTAAATGAAAAATAAAAAAAGAAAACATGCAAAAAATATTAAATTAAAATAAGTTTACAATTGCTGAAAGCAGGCTTACCAATACTATTTGTTTCTTCGGCAACTTCTATGGAATTAGAGAGAGACGTTAAGGGCTGTTGTATAGATAAGGGTGCTATTGAAGTGGGCAATTCTTCCACTATAGAGGCGGGCGATAGTTTGTCTACTAGATTGGCTTTTTCCAGAGATTTGGGTATTTCATGGATTTCTGCTACAAAACAGGATTTACAGTCGGGACAACGGATTTCTATAAAAAGGTTTTGAATTTATATTTTATTAATGAAAAGCTGGGAAATAAATGGGTTTTTTTCACTTACCCGAGTTATTCAATTTCGATTTAGTTTCCTGAGAAAATTGACAGCTGCAATTGACACATCTATAAATCGTTTGATTCATTTCGGTTAAATCACGTTGTGATAAAATATCACGCAATTTCTTTTCCAATTCCTTAAAGAAAAAAGGAAAACATTTGCATAAATAAACATTTAATAGAATTTCGTTAAAAAGCTTACTTGACACAGATCTTCTTCTACGGTATAAACACGTTCTTGTTTATCCTTTTTTACCGTATCGAAGTTTATGCGTAAAGTATTGGATTTAATGCGATCACAGGATTCTAAAATTTTTAAACTCCATTTGGTTTTGGTTCTTTAGTAAAACAAGGAAATAAAAAAAAAACAAAATCTAAATTAAATTTTTTAATTAAATGGAAATAAGTTAAACTTACTTTTCGGTTAAAGGATCTCTTTCTCTAAGGAAATTGGAAGACTTGGTTAAAAATAATGCTTCATTTTGATTAGTGGTATAGACAATATAGGTCTCTTCATCCTCTTCTCTTTCGGAATCTAAAATAAAAATAACTTTTAGTTTTTTTTATTTTAATGTTTTGAGTTGTTAAACTTACATTCATCCTCTTCATTATGTTGTTCGTTTGTGGCATAGATTTTACTTAATATATCATGATCCTCTTCCTCATCTCTTACTGCTTCTGTTTGTGGTGTTGTTTTTGTTAGCATTTCGTTTTCCTCAACATCATCCTCTTCTTCAAAAGGATTTTTACTAATCATTTTTGTATTATCCAAGGACTTGTATATCGTTTTATCATTGTCTGCGGTATTATTGATTAAGGTCGCTTGTGTTTGCTCTAAACTTTGATAAAGTGAAGTTGTTTCATTACTGTCCGGTTGAGCTTTAATGGGTGTTAGCATCAGCTGTGCCATGGTGTTATCTAAAGTGTTATTGGTTGGTGTGGAGGTATGCACGGTAGTATTGGCTTCCTCTTTGAAATCTTTGACATATTCATCAAACATTTGTCTTGATTTTTGTCTTTCTAGATTAATATCTACAGCTGAGGTGTTGGAAGGCGTAAGGCCCAAAACACTGTTACGGATTTCGGCATTACCCGTATGCAACCATTCATTGCCATATTTTTTGCGTAAATTTTCCACTTGCCCTTTAATATCCAAGTGTTCTTTATTTTCTTCTTCCACAAAAACTGAGTTATTCATAACATTTTCCTTGGAATTAAGGTTATCTAAATGTTCTCCTGTTTCCTGTATATTATCTTCAATTTCCACATGTCTTACTTTAGAAGATTTTTTCTTAACCTGCTTAACTACCACCTCATCGGCGTTATAAGTTTCTGAAGTATCTGAATTGTTGTCATTAAGTTTAAAAGACACTAAAGAACCCACACTGGAGGCAGGAGTTTGATTGGAGGCTGGTGTTATACGTCCTACTGCTGTTAACGATGAAGTAGAGGAACGTGTGGTATAATGATTAAGAGCTCCCACTAATCTAATCTGGTGAGTGCCCGTAACAGACTTTTCATTTTTCGTTAAAGGCTCAAAATCCAATATGAATTTAACCGATGAACAGTTTTTATGCAAATATTGTGATGAAGCCAAACGATGTTTGGGATGACATTGCAAAGGATTACCATACAAATTTAAAAATTTTAAGGTACTTATGGCACTTAGGGGCAATAGATAAGTATGATCCAATAAACAATTATCCGATAAATCCAAATCTGTAAGAGCATCCAATTTTACAATACCCATCAAATCCTCCAATAGATTATTACTCATATTCAAAGACTGCAAACGTTTATAGGCATCCATATGAAACTGTGGTATAAACTGCAAACGATTAAAGCTCAAATCTAATGTTTTTAAATGAGGCAACCATTTGATGGCCTTAACCGATTGCAATTGATTGTGTCTTAGATTTAAATGTTGTAAATATTGAGCAAATTCCAATGAGGTGTCCACCGTACGTAAGTTATTATAACTAAAATCCGCTATTTTCAATTCATTCCAAACAAAACCATTCGAATTATCTCCCCCACAATGTGTTATTATCTCATCCACACATTTAATACTTTTGGTACAAATTAAATGTTGCATTTGGGCTCGCAGAGGTTGTAGGCCACATATCTGTTTGACTTGTACCTTTTGTATTTCGAGACGTTTAAGGGCACGAAATTTTGTTATATCAATTTTACCCTCAAAACATTCTTCTCCGGGATATTGTATTATGCAGAGTAGTGTTGTTTTCTGTACAAAATCATGCACCAGTTGTAGATCACGAAAAACGGGAGATTTGGAATTGATGGGTTTTACAACTTGAAAGTTTTGTATGTCACCAATTTCTAGAGAATCAGCTATTAGGGTAAATGAGTCGTTTAGGGCTCGTAGAAGAGAGGCTAGAAAATGGAATGGAGGTTAAAAATGTTTAAATTTTAATTATGCACAAAAGAAATTAAGTTTTTGAAAATCAATGAAACCTCAAGGAAGATTTTTTAGTTACTTTCTAAATATAGTAAACACTAGATTAAGTAACTAGTTTGGTTCTAGTTCAGTTCTAGTTCAGTTATAGTTGAGTTCTTGTTCAGTTCTAGTTCAGTTCTAGTTCAGTTCTAGTTCAGTTCTAGTTCAGTTCGAGTTCAGTTCGAGTTCAGTTCTAGTTCAGTTCTAGTTCAGTTCGAGTTCAGTTCGAGTTCAGTTCTAGTTCAGTTCTAGTTCAGTTCTAGTTCAGGTCTAGTTCAGTTCTAGTTCAGTTCTAGTTCAGTTCTAGTTCAGTTCTAGTTCAGTTCTAGTTCAGTTCTAGTTCAGTTCTAGTTCAGTTCTAGTTCAGTTCTAGTTCAGTTCTAGTTCAGATCTAGTTCAGTTCTAGTTCAGTTCTAGTTCAGTTCTAGTTCAGTTCTAGTTCAGTTCTAGTTCAGTTCTAGTTCAGTTCTAGTTCAGTTCTAGTTCAGTTCTAGTTCAGTTCTAGTTCAGTTCTAGTTCAGTTCTAGTTCAGTTCTAGTTCAGTTCCAGTTCAGTTCTAGTTCAGTTCTAGTTCAGTTCTAGTTCAGCTCTAGTTCAGTTCGAGTTCAGTTCGAGTTCAGTTCTAGTTCAGTTCGAGTTCAGTTCGAGTTCAGTTCTAGTTCAGTTCTAGTTCAGTTCGAGTTCAGTTCGAGTTCAGTTCGAGTTCAGTTCAGTTCTAGTTCAGTTCTAGTTCAGTTCTAGTTCAGTTCTAGTTCAGTTCTAGTTCAGTTCTAGTTCAGTTCTAGTTCAGTTCTAGTTCAGTTCTAGTTCAGTTCTAGTTCAGTTCTAGTTCAGTTCTAGTTCAGTTCTAGTTCAGTTCTAGTTCAGTTCTAGTTCAGTTCTAGTTCAGTTCTAGTTCAGTTCTAGTTCAGTTCTAGTTCAGTTCTAGTTCAGTTCTAGTTCAGTTCTAGTTCAGTTCTAGTTCAGTTCTAGTTCAGTTCTAGTTCAGTTCTAGTTCAGTTCTAGTTCAGTTCTAGTTCTAGTTCAGTTCTAGTTCAGTTCTAGTTCAGTTCTACTTCAGTTCTAGTTCAGTTCTTGTTCAGTTCTACTTCAGTTCTACTTCAGTTCTTGTTCAGTTCTAGTTTAGTTCTAGTTCAGTTCTAGTTCAGTTCTAGTTCAGTTCTAGTTCAGTTCTAGTTCAGTTCTAGTTCAGTTCTAGTTCAGTTCTAGTTCAGTTCGAGTTCAGTTCGAGTTCAGTTCGAGTTCAGTTCGAGTTCAGTTCAGTTCTAGTTCAGTTCTAGTTCAGTTCTAGTTCAGTTCTAGTTCAGTTCTAGTTCAGTTCTAGTTCAGTTCTAGTTCAGTTCTAGTTCAGTTCTAGTTCAGTTCTAGTTGAGTTCTAGTTCAGTTCTTGTTCAGTTCTAGTTCAGTTCTAGTTCAGTTCTAGTTCAGTTCTAGTTCAGTTCTAGTTCAGTTCTAGTTCAGTTCTAGTTCAGTTCTAGTTCAGTTCTAGTTCAGTTCTAGTTCAGTTTTAGTTCAGTTCTAGTTCAGTTCTAGTTCAGTTCTAGTTCAGTTCTAGTTCAGTTCTATTTCAGTTCTAGTTCAGTTCTAGTTCAGTTCTAGTTCAGTTCTAGTTCAGTTCTAGTTCAGTTCTAGTTCAGTTCTAGTTCAGTTCTAGTTCAGTTCTAGTTCAGTTCCAGTTCAGTTCTAGTTCAATTCTTGTTCTAGTCTGGCTTATAGTACACAATCAGGACTAGTCTTTATTTAATCAAACAAGAAATATGGAAGCATGCTACAAACGCTACAAATTACATCTGAATCAATGAAACACATTACAAATGAGTCAATCCTAATGTCTGTGTTCTACAAAAATAAACAAACATACACATTTTTAAATAGTTTTTAGGTTTCTATTGTAAACAAACAGATAAGAGCAATTATATATTGAAAAATGTAAAAATGCTGCAACAAATATTATGACAAAATTGTCATACCCTAAATAGGTATTTAAAAAATAAAGCTTTACAATTGAACAAATTTATATTTAACTTCTCAATATTGCTTATTCTGAAATCTCGATCATTTTTTAGAAAGTTTGTCTGTAACAAGTTTTTTGGTACGATCTTTGACCCAATTTTTGTCTTACACTTTTACTGTTATTCATAACAAATTGATTTGTTATTGGAGTCAAAATTATTAAAATTTCTCATATGTATGTATCTAAATAAACAAATCCCCCCACTATAGGGTATAACAAATTAAAAAATAATTACTTTCAAATAACAAATTTTCTATTTATAAGAATGCAATTACCTGATAGTGTAAGTGTAAACTCTGAACTTAAGATTTTATCACCATTATTTCGTAATAATGTAGCCAGTTCAGTGATTTTTTTGGGATCCATGTTGGCTGCTTGCACTTGTTACAATATCAAAATGTCAAAACAATTAAATAATAACAACATAAAAAATTATTATTAAATTACAATTATAGCATTTTGTTGTTTATATTAGAATTGTTTGATTTTACATATAAAGTTTCCAAATATGATTCAACTAATCCAAGTAGATGACGCGTAAGTTTCAATAAACAAAAGAATTTAGACGATATGCAAAATTTGCTGCAAATATATGGAAAATTTTTTTGTCATATTTATTATTAATATCGCAGCAAATGTATGTATATAGTATATTTAAGCAATTTACCTTGTTTTTGAATTATTATAAACAAGAAAATTAGTTATAAATAATTTGTTGTTTGTTTAAATTTATTTTTTTACGCACTTTTTCTTAATATTTCTTTTACAATTCTTCGTTTGCTATTTATTTAATTAATTGTGTATATTCATGTTATTAATTAGCTTTATTGGTATTCTTTTTTTATTAATTATTATTGTTAATACGTTGCATTTTAATTAAATTTTATTGAATGAATATATATTTTTTTGTTATTGCGTTTGTATTGTTATTATTCTTGTCATTTCATAGAGAAAAAACAAAACAAAATGTCAGGTAGTTGTCATTTTAACAGCAGCTGTTACATAGTTGTATTTTAGTGGAGTGAGAAATTAACCCTTAATTGAGTTTAAGCAAAAAATTGAGACGAATTTATATATAGTTGAAAACAAATGCCAATTTTATGAATATTTTCATAGTCCAATTCTAGTTCAGTTCTTGTTCAGTTCTAGTTTAGTTCTAGTTTAGTTCTAGTTCAGTTCTAGTTCAGTTCTAGTTTAGTTCTAGTTTAGTTCTAGTTCAGTTCTAGTTCAGTTCTAGTTCCGTTCTAGTTCAGTTCTAGTTCAGTTCTAGTTCAGTTCTAGTTCCGTTCTAGTTCCGTTCTAGTTCAGTTCTAGTTCAGTTCTAGTTCCGTTCTAGTTCAGTTCTAGTTCAGTTCTAGTTCAGTTCTAGTTCAGTTCTAGTTCAGTTCTAGTTCCGTTCTAGTTCAGTTCTAGTTCAGTTCTAGTTCAGTTCTAGTTCAGTTCTAGTTCAGTTCTAGTTCAGTTCTAGTTCAGTTCTAGTTCAGCTCTAGTTCAGTTCTAGTTCAGTTCTAGTTCAGTTCTAGTTCAGTTCTAGTTCAGTTCTAGTTCAGTTCTAGTTCAGTTCAGTTCAGTTCTAGTTCAGTTCTAGTTCAGTTCTAGTTCAGTTCTAGTTCAGTTCTAGTTCAGTTCTAGATAGTTCTAGTTCAGTTCTAGTTCAGTTCTAGTTCAGTTCTAGTTCAGTTCTAGTTCAGTTCTAGTTCAGTTCTAGTTCAGTTCTAGTTCAGTTCTAGTTCAGTTCTAGTTCAGTTCTAGTTCAGTTCTAGTTCAGTTCTAGTTCAGTTCTAGTTCAGTTCTAGTTCAGTTCTAGTTCAGTTCTAGTTCAGTTCTAGTTCAGTTCTAGTTCAGTTCTAGTTCAGTTCTAGTTCAGTTCTAGTTCAGTTCTAGTTCAGTTCTAGTTCAGTTCTAGTTCAGTTCTAGTTCAGTTCTAGTTCAGTTCTAGTTCAGTTCTAGTTCAGTTCTAGTTCAGTTCTAGTTCAGTTCTAGTTCAGTTCTAGTTCAGTTCTAGTTCAGTTCTAGTTCAGTTCTAGTTCAGTTCTAGTTCAGTTCTAGTTCAGTTCTAGTTCAGTTCTAGTTCAGTTCTAGTTCAGTTCTAGTTAAGTTCTAGTTCAGTTCTAGTTCAGTTCTAGTTAAGTTCTAGTTCAGTTCTAGTTCAGCTCAAGTTCAGTTCTAGTTCAGTTCTAGTTCAGTTCTAGTTCAATTCTAGTTCAATTCTAGTTCAGTTCTAGTTTAGTTCTAGTTTAGTTCTAGTTCAGTTCTAGTTCAGTTCTAGTTCAGTTCTAGTTCAGTTCTAGTTCAGTTCTAGTTCAGTTCTAGTTCAGTTCTAGTTCAGTTCTAGTTCAGTTCTAGTTCAGTTCTAGTTCCATTCTAGTTCCGTTCTAGTTCAGTTCTAGTTCAGTTCTAGTTCAGTTCTAGTTCGGTTCTAGTTCGGTTCTAGTTCCGTTCTAATTCAGTTCTAGTTCAGTTCTAGTTCAGTTCTAGTTCAGTTCTAGTTCAGTTCTAGTTCAGTTCTAGTTCAGTTCTAGTTCAGTTCTAGTTCAGTTCTAGTTCAGTTCTAGTTCAGTTCTAGTTCAGTTCTAGTTCAGTTCTTGTTCAGTTCTAGTTCAGTTCTAGTTTAGTTTTAGTTCAGTTCTAGTTTAGTTCTAGTTCAGTTCTAGTTCAGTTCTAGTTCAGTTCTAGTTCAGTTCTAGTTCAGTTCTAGTTCAGTTCTAGTTCAGTTCTAGTTCAGTTCTAGTTCAGTTCTAGTTCAGTTCTAGTTCAGTTCTAGTTCAGTTCTAGTTCAGTTCTAGTTCAGTTCTAGTTCAGTTCTAGTTCAGTTCTAGTTCAGTTCTAGTTCAGTTCTAGTTCAGTTCTAGTTCAGTTCTAGTTAAGTTCTAGTTCAGTTCTAGTTCAGCTCAAGTTCAGTTCTAGTTCAGTTCTAGTTCAGTTCTAGTTCAATTCTAGTTCAATTCTAGTTCAGTTCTAGTTTAGTTCTAGTTTTTTAGTTCTAGTTCAGTTCTAGTTCAGTTCTAGTTCAGTTCTAGTTCAGTTCTAGTTCAGTTCTAGTTCAGTTCTAGTTCAGTTCTAGTTCAGTTCTAGTTCAGTTCTAGTTCAGTTCTAGTTCAGTTCTAGTTCAGTTCTAGTTCAGTTCTAGTTCAGTTCTAGTTCAGTTCTAGTTCAGTTCTAGTTCAGTTCTAGTTCAGTTCTAGTTCAGTTCTAGTTCAGTTCTAGTTCAGTTCTAGTTCAGTTCTAGTTCAGTTCTAGTTCAGTTCTATTTCAGTTCTATTTCAGTTCTAGTTCAGTTCTAGTTCAGTTCTAGTTCAGTTCTAGTTCAGTTCTAGTTCAGTTCTAGTTCAGTTCTAGTTCAGTTCTAGTTCAGTTCTAGTTAAGTTCTAGTTCAGTTCTAGTTCAGCTCAAGTTCAGCTCAAGTTCAGTTCTAGTTCAGTTCTAGTTCAATTCTAGTTCAATTCTAGTTCAGTTCTAGTTTAGTTCTAGTTTAGTTCTAGTTTAGTTCTAGTTCAGTTCTAGTTCAGTTCTAGTTCAGTTCTAGTTCAGTTCTAGTTCAGTTTAGTTCAGTTCTAGTTCAGTTCTAGTTCAGTTCTAGTTCAGTTCTAGTTCAGTTCTAGTTCAGTTCTAGTTCAGTTCTAGTTAGTTCTAGTTCAGTTCTAGTTCAGTTCTAGTTCAGTTCTAGTTCAGTTCTAGTTCAGTTCTAGTTCAGTTCTAGTTCAGTTCTAGTTCAGTTCTAGTTCAGTTCTAGTTCAGTTCTAGTTCAGTTCTAGTTCAGTTCTAGTTCAGTTCTAGTTCAGTTCTAGGTCAGTTCTAGATCAGTTCCAGTTCAGTTCTAGTTCAGTTCTAGGTTAGTTCTAGATCAGTTCCAGTTCAGTTCTAGTTCAGTTTAGTTATAGTTCATTTCTAGTACAGTTCTGTTCTCGTTCAAATCTAGTTCAGTTTTAGCTCTACTTCAGTTCAAGTTTAGTTCCTGATGAGGTCCATTTCAGTTGCAGTTCGAATCTAGTCAAGTTCAGTGATTTTTTAGTTCGAGTTCTATTCTAGTTCGTTTCTAGTTTAGACGTAGTTCTGTTGTAAAGAATCTAAGAAACCCTATCTAAATGCGTTGTGTCAATAAAATTTAAATTTAACGGTTTTTTCTTTCCTTTTTAATCCGAAATCCCCTTACTTTTGGTTGCTACAGCAATAATTTTAAAATAATAATTTGTTGAGTCAATAATCAAAAAGTTGTCAGCAGAGAAAAACTTTGTATTGAAATCTAATAATTTTCAAAAAAGAAAAAAAAAAACAACAACTAAAAAAAATGCAGCGAAATAAAGAATCGAAGGAAATCTTAGGACTTAATCGCATTACAAAAAAACGTATAATGGAATTATGCAAAAAAGATAAACTCTATCAAACTCCCGAATTAAATGATGTTTTGTATTTGCACTATCAGGGTAAGATAATAAAATGAAGTATCATTTTGCAAATATTTAATTTTTAAATAAAATATTGAAAGGATTTGAATGCATTGAGTGCTTGGAAGATTATACCGAACTTAAGTGTCTCTGGCTGGAGTGTAATGCCATTTCCGAAATCCAGGGTTTGGAAAAACAAGCGAAACTGAAATGTCTATTTCTGCAAAGTAATTTGATAAGAAAAATTGAGAATTTAGATTACTGCAAGGAATTGGATACCATAAATTTGTCTCAGAATCATATAAGAAAAATTGAGAATTGTGGTTTTGAGGTATTACCGGTATTGAATACTTTGAATCTTTCTTCGAATTATTTAAAAGATAGTGAGGGTTTAAGGGAGTTGGAGAATTGTAAAAATCTGTCGGTGTTGGATTTATCTAATAATCGTATTGATGATATATTGGTGGTAAAGGTAAACAAATTTTTAAATTAATGGAGGATCTAATAAATAATAAAAAATTTTTAGATTTTTGGAAAAATGCCGGAATTAAAAGTTTTAGTATTGCAAGGCAATCCGGTAGTATCCAAAATACCACAATATCGTAAAACTTTGATATTGGAATGTGTAAGTTTTAGTTATTTTTTTAAGAAAAACAGAAATTCTGAAATATTTATGTTTTTACTATAGAAAAAATTAACCTATTTGGATTCAAGACCGGTATTTCCAAAAGATAGGGCCTGTGCTGAAGCTTGGTAGGTTTGGGCGGAATACAAATGTTGGAACGTTTAATAATATAAACATATTTTTCTTAGGAAACGTGGTGGCTATGAAGAGGAACGCAAAGAGAACGAAAGATGGAATCGCCGAGAACGTAAAAAGATGAGAGATGGTGTAAATGGTATAAAAAAATTCCCGAGTTTAATTTCCTTTTTTTGTAATTTGTCTCCTTTTAGCTACCATACAATTGCGCAATAAAAATCGCAAGCCAGAAGATCAAATTTCCTTAATACCCTCCTCAGATTCTGAAGATGAATCGAAAAATACAGAAAAGAAAAATTTGCAAAATCGTGAGAATATGGAAGTTGAAATAGATAGCATATGGGATGAGGTGGCAGAGGACAAACATTCGGAGAGATCTTCTAGTTCGGTTACTAGCGGTGAGAGTAAAGTTTCCGATTCTACACAAAGTTCTGAGAGTAATGAAGAAGAACAGGAGGCTGTTAACAAAATAGAGGTTAAAGAGGATGAAAAGAGAATGTTGGCAGAGATTTCTAGTTCTGCTAATAGTTCTGACACCAAAGACAAAGTTGAGTCTGTAATAGATCAACAACAGAAAATATCGGAAGAAATTACAGTAGAAGAAGAAGAAGTTGAAATACTAAAAGAATCGAAGAACATTTTGGAACCTGAAAAGTTGACCAGTTCTACTTTAACTAGTCTGAATAAGGAGAAAGATTCTACTGATGCTAATCGAACCACTGCAGAGTCAAAACTTGAAAATTTCTCAGAACCTCCAACTAAAAAAGTTCAATTACATATTGAATATTATAATAGTTTAGATATCTGTTCTGGAAATTTGAAAAATACTTCTATGGCTCATATAGAAGAAGGTAAAGGGTGCCAAGAATCTGAGTTACATTGTCCGTTTAGTAAGTTGGAAGAAGAGACTCGTAAATTCTCAAATTTCCCAGAGTCTTCTACACAAAAACTTCAATTATCAATTGAAAACAGTAAAGATTTAGACAACAGCTCTGAAAGTATGAAAAGTACTCCTAAGCTAAGTCTAATTAAGGAAATAGAGCCCCAAGAACCCAAATTAAGTACCTCGCATAATGTCTTAAACCAAGGCATACCAAAAACAGATAATTTCCTAGAATCTTCAAGCAAACAAGTTCAATTATATATTGAAAATTGTAAAGGATCCGAAAACCCTAACACTTACCTTAATAACGATTACCTTAAAGATTCTTCGGAGAACTATCAAACTACTATTGAAGCTATAAGAAACGTAACAGAATCTAATAATTCTCCGGAAGTTTCTTTCACAAAAAATAACGAAACTCTCAATACATCTCAAGAAAATGTTGAAGATAATTATGATTCCCTTCAGGAAATGGAAGATACCATGAATATGTTGAATCAGAAGAGTGAAGAACAAACATCATCTTTGTTAAAACCCCAAAAAGACCTAGAGAAATATCTTAATAAATGGGAAAATGATCACGAACGTTTACAAGTCAATCAGAAAGTAAGAACAGATTTTGAAAAGTTATCGACAAATTTAAATAGTTTTGTGGAACAATTAGATCAGGAACAAAAACAAAGACAAGAAATTTTTAAAGCTTTATATGACAAAAATATAGCGCCTAAAGAAAGCAGCCCAGAAAGTAGCGCTAGTGAAGAGAAAGATCACTTAGAGGAATGGAAGTTGGAACGAATGATTGATCTGTGGGATAGAGATACAAATTTGAAGAAATACTCAACAGAAAACAAACCGAAAGATTTAAAAGATACTTTCCAAAATGTTCCAACAAATATTATAAAAGCAGAAGAAGCTTTAAATGATTCCTTAGAAAGTGTTGCAGCAAAAACTGAAGAACCCCCTACCTACTATATACCCATGGATGTATCTAACTTAACTCGCAAATCTAATGAGGCTTTAGATTCCCTCGAAAGAGAATCTAAAGAATTGAAGAGATTGCTGCAACAATTGGAGGATAAAAATGAAGATCTCTTTAAAGATATCAATGCGGAAATGAAATGTGAAAGAGAACAAAATCACCCAGAGAATCCAGAAAAAGAAAGTGAAGAAACAGTACAGGATAATAGAGAAAAACAAACTCATGAAAAGGATGATTACAAAACAAATGATCCAGCTGATAGTATGGAATCGAAATCAGAAATAAAATGCGAAATAGAGGAAAGTATCCCCGAGAAAAATGAAGATCGTTTTAAAGAATGGAATGCAGAAATAATATGTGAAAGAGAAGAACGTATTCCAGAGCAAGAGGGAAAAGAAAGCGAAGAAATGGAAAAGGATAACATAGATAAACAAACATATAAGAAAGATAATTATAAAGCAAATCAAAAAGATTTTAAAACAGATCAAGTTGAACCAAATCTTGTTAAAAGAGAAGAAGCAGTTGAAGACGAAAGAGAGCAGCCACAAATTGTATCAACAATTGTAGAAGAACTAATAAAATCTCTAGAATTAAAACAAAAATCTTATAAATTTCCCGAATCTTTGGAAAACCGCGAAGTAGAACCTTCTACTAAAACTCAACATTCACAGCAAAGTGTTTCTGAAAATCTTCCGGATTTCTTGAAAACATTCAATCAATTCTACCAAGCTGTTGAAACTACAAATCAGGAAAAGAATAAACTTCCGGAAGCTAAAGAAAAACCAAAGTCTGAGGTTTTAAAAGAACTTTCCAAACAAACAAATCTAAAAGTATTCAATATTGATACTCTTGAAAGTTTGGATGCTCAATTGGCCGAAATGAAAAGAGTGGAACATGATAGAGTACGACGTATGGTTGGCAGGGTGTATGCTCAAAAAGATCGCTATAATGATACTTTGGAGTTAGTTGAGGGCAAGCTAATGGTGCGCCATCATGATACACAAGAACTGAAGGAGCTAACACAACCTGTTATGCAGGAATCAAGTGAAAGTGAGGTTGAATATGATACCGCACAGTCAGAGGAAGAGGATTATAATAGCGGCTCTAAATTTGAAAAAAGTTTGAAGCGTAAACCCTATAAGCCTATAGCACGCAAATCCAGTGAGGATCTTATAATACAAGCTTTAATAGCTAATAAGTCCCACAAAGCTTCCGATGATAGTGAGGAGAGTAATGATGATGATGAATTCTATTCTTTAGATCCTCAAGATACTGCAAATCTTTATAAAGAAATCGATAAAGAATTTTTTCATAAATTAACTCTAGAAAATTTAAAATTCTCACACCAAGATGAGAATCATATTGTTCAATGTGCCCGAAGCTATGAGGAATTGAAACATTGTTTATCCTTAAAAAAAGAAGAGAGAGGCTTAACCGAGGAAGAAAATGATTTGGTAGAAGATATGATCGAAGGAAAATGTTTAAAACTTAAGGAGAAACCAGAAACTTCACACAATAATCAAGATCGATCGACAGAAGAACAATTGTGGCTTGATAAAGTGACTCTGAAATCGGAAGATCAGGGAGTTAAGAATGAAATAGAGCTAAAATCTAGCAAAGAGGCTATACAATTATTTAACTATAAACCTAATACAAATACTGATCAGCTGTTAAGTGCGCCAAGTTTTCGAGACCCTAAGCCTGAAGATTCGGAGCATATGAAAACACCATCGGAAGATGAATGCGAAAACCTAATGAAAGCCATATTGCTCAAGAAACTTGCAGAGCAAAGAGAAAGAGAACATTTTTAAAAGAGAAAAACCCGAGCTTAAGAAAAACGATCTTGAATCCGTTTTGAGTTATGAGCGTTCAAGTGAAGAAGAAAAAAATGAAATCGAAAGTAATATTGATTTTGAAAGTGGAGCTTCCAATAAAAAAACATACAATTGTCAAACAAAAGATGTATTAAAAGATGAAGAACTAGGAACTGAAGAAGAAACTGTAAATGTTACTGAAGATTTAATTACGGAAGTATGTTTACCGAATGATGATGTCGTTGGGGGCAATTCAGCTGGTGTAGAGATTTTGGAATGTAATTTAGAAATTATTGGCTGCAATGATGAGTTGGTGGATACTATAACCGTTAATGCTGAAGTACATTTTTAAAGAAATACGGATTCTTGTTTTATTTTGTAATTTTCGTTTTATGGAATTTTAATAAAATACATTTATCAAATTTAAAGTGTTTAGCGAAAACTTTTTTCTAAAAGTCGAATATAAACAATCTCTAATTTCTACCGAAGAACTAAAGTTGAATTTTTTAACTCCGGTCTATAGTCTAGACTATAGTCTAGTCTAGTCTATAGTCCAGACATAGTCTTGTCTACAGTTCAGACCTAGTCAAGTCTATAGTTGAGACCTAGTCTAGTCTATAGTCCAGACTATAGTTTAGTCTATAGTCCAGACTATAGTCTACTCTATATTCCAGACTATAGTCTAGTCTATAGTCCAGACTATAGTCCAGACTATAGTCTAGTCTATAGTCCAGACTATAGTCTATTCTATAGTCCAGACTATAGTCTAGTCTATAGTCCAGACTATAGTCTAGTCTATAGTCTAGACTATAGTCTAGTCTATAGTCTAGACTATAGTCTAGTCTATAGTCTAGACTATAGTCTAGTCTATAGTCCAGACTATAGTCTAGTCTATAGTCCAGACTATAGTCTAGTCTATAGTCCAGACTATAGTCTAGTCTATAGTCCAGACTATAGTCTAGTCTATAGTCCAGACTATAGTCTAGTCTATAGTCCAGACTATAGTCTAGTCTATAGTCCAGACTATAGTCTAGTCTATAGTCCAGACTATAGTCTAGTCTATAGTCCAGACTATAGTCTAGTCTATAGTCCAGACTATAGTCTAGTCTATAGTCCAGACTATAGTCTAGTCTACAGTCCAGACTATGGTCTAGTCTATTGTCCAGACTATAGTCTAGTCTATAGTCCAGACTATAGTCTAGTCTATAGTCCAGACTATAGTCTAGTCTATAGTCCAGACTATAGTCCAGACTATAGTGAAGTCTATAGCCCAGACTTTAGTCTAGTCTATAGTCCAGACTATAGTCTAGTCTACAGTCCAGACTATAGTCTAGTCTACAGTCCAGACTATAGTCTAGTCTACAGTCCAGACTATAGTCTAGCCTACAGTCTATAGACCAGACTTAAGTCTAGTCTATAGTCAATAGTATAGTCTAGTCCAGACTATAGTCTAGTCTATAGTCCAGACTATAGTCTACTCTATAGTCCAGACTATAGTCTACAGTCCAGACTATAGTCTACAGTCCAGACTATAGTCTACAGTCCAGACTATAGTCTAGTCCTGGCTATGGTCTAGTCTATAGTCCAGACTTAGTCTAGTCTATAGTCCAGACTTAGTCTAGTCTATAGTCCAGACTATAGTCTAGTCTATAGTCCAGACTATAGTCTAGTCTATAGTCCAGACTATAGTCTAGTCTATAGTCCAGACTATAGTCTAGTCTATAGTCCTCCTATAAGTATGTACCTAAAAAGACCAGACTATAGTCTACACTCCAGACTATAGTCTATAGTCCAGACTATAGTCTATAGTCCAGACTATAGTCTATAGTCCAGACTATAGTCTATAGTCCAGACTATAGTCTATAGTCCAGACTATAGTCTACGGTCCAGACTATAGTCTACGGTCCAGACTATAGTCTAAAGTCCAGACTATAGTCTACAGTCCAGACTATAGTCTAGTCTACAGTCCAGACTATAGTCTAGTCTACAGTCCAGACTATAGTCTAGTCTACAGTCCAGACTATAGTCTAGTCTATAGTCCTGGCTATGGTCGAGTCTATAGTCCTGGCTATGGTCTAGTCTATAGACCTGGCTATGGTCTAGTCTATAGTCCAGACTATAATCTAGTCTATAGTCCAGACTATAGTCTAGTCTATAGTCCAGACAATAGTCTAGTCTATAGTCCAGACAATAGTCTAGTCTATAGTCCAGACAATAGTCTAGTCTATAGTCCAGACAATAGTCTAGTCTATAGTCCAGACTATAGTCTAGTCTATAGTCCAGACTATAGTCTAGTCTATAGTCCATACTATAGTCTAGTCTATAGTCCAGACTATAGTCTAGTCTATAGTCCTGGCTATGGTCGAGTCTATAGTCCTGGCTATGGTCTAGTCTATAGTCCTGGCTATGGTCTAGTCTATAGTCCAGACTATAATCTAGTCTATAGTCCAGACTATAATCTAGTCTATAGTCCAGACTATAGTCTAGTCTATAGTCCAGACTGTAGTCTAGTCTATAGTCCAGACTATAGTCTAGACTATAATCCTTCTATAACTATGTACCTAAAAAGAAACTTCGTACTTCTTTGCAATTTCTGGCACCGATTTCTGCTCAGTCATCTTTGTTCTTCGATTAAATAATAAAACCAATGTACCGCATCTTGAAATAAATCAATCTGGGAAACCTACAATAAAAAAATAAAAACAATCTTATCAAGTTAAAAGTTCAATTTTACCAGTTTACCAAGAGTCCAAAAACCAGTTTTAACCGACTCGACCATTCACTTAACAAATGTTCTTTAAATTAATCGCACAATAGACTAAAGAGACCTCGGCTAAGTATATGCAGTACACAGACATGATTTTTATTGATTGATAGATTTTCTTCTCTTATCAAAATTGTTGTTTTTTATTTCAATTTTTTTTACAATAATTTCACTAATTAATTGCACACTTGTTTAATAATAAATTTACAAAAACCTATTTAATAACTATAATGTCCACATCATTATAATCAGATTACCAACAACTGATGTCTCATTCTGATTTTTCAGTTTTAAATTTCCAGTTTGAAATGTAAACTTATTCAATATGCCGCATTTATTTCAAATCTTTAATATGTATCAATTTAGATTGAAAAAAATCCTTATCAAATAAAAAAAAAAAAGTTCATGTTTACCAGTTTTACTAAGAGTTCTGGCTCTAGTTAAAACCGGTTTGATTGTTTTCACTCGCTCAACAAATGTTTCGTAGCTAATCACACATCGGCTAATGCAGACAATAAAACACCCAAGACTAGTCCATATAATTAGTTTTTTTAATATAGATCTGCAATAAATCTACATTCATACTATATTTTTCAGTAATTATTTTATAATCAAATGTTCTTTAATTGGACCTTAAGGTCTTATCAAAATTATTACGCCAATGTTTCGGTTTAAACCGGTTATTTTGAAGTGGTTAAACTGAAAAAATAATCTAAAGTTTCCATATTGAATTTGTTCTAAGAGAATTATTTATAGGTCAACAATGGTGTTTTTTTAATTCTTTTAAAACAATTGTTTATATTTGTTTTATTTCTTTGTTATTAAGTCCATTAAGAATGTGATTAATAAAAAAAAAACTTGTTTGTTTTTTTGGGGGAGAGTTTCCACGAGCGATAAGACTATAGGGGCTAGAGGCCAAAACTTTCACTTAAACATAGAGTGGTTAGTGTAATGCGGTATATAGTACATACCTCCAGCAAATCTAAACGGGAATAATAGATTATTGGAATTGTTATTAGTTGTTGTCAAGTCGTACTTTTGTTATTCGGAGACAGATGAATAAAGTTAAAATGTTGCTATTTTTAGAGAAAGAAAGAGAGATGGACAAATACAATTATGTCATAATCTCGACTATAGTATATAGACTAAACTGTATTGGAAACTATATTCTACACTATAGTTCAGGCTATAATCCGGTATATACATACATACTATTACTCCAGAATATAGTCTTGTCTATAGTCCAGACTCTAGTCTAGTCTATAGTCTTGTCTATAGTCCAGACTATAGTCTTGTCTATAGTCCAGACTATAGTCTTGTCTATAGTCCAGACTGCAGTATTGTCTTAAGTCCAGACTAAAGTCTAGCCTATAGTCCAGAATATATTCTTGTGTATAGTCCACACTACAGTCTAGTCTATAGGCCAGGCTGGACTATATACAGACTAGTCTTGTGTGTGTCTGTAGTTCAGACTAAAGTCTTGCCTATAATCCAAACTATAGTCTTGTCTATAGTGCAGACTATAGTCCAGATAGTATAGTCTAGACTAAAGTCTAGTCTATAGTCCACACTATAGTCCAGTCTAAAGTCCAAGCTATTGACTTCTTTATAGTCCAGACTATTGTCTAGTCTATAATTCAGACTATAGTCTAGTCGTTAGTTCAGACTATTGTCTAGTCTGTAGTACAGACTATACTATAGTCTACACTATATACTAGATTATAATCTTATCTATAGACTAGAACTATAGTCTGTACTAAAGACTAGACTGCAGTCTGGACTAAAGAGTAGACTACAGTCTGGACTAAAGACTACACTACACTGGACTATATACTACACTATATTCTGGACTACAGACTAGACTATAGTCTGGACAAAAGACTAGACTATAGTCTAGACTATAAGAAGTCTATAGCCTGGACTATAGTGTGGACTATAGGCTAGACTTTAGTCTGAACTATAGACAATACTATAGTCTGGACTATAGACAAGACTATAAAGTGGACTATAGACAAGACTATAAAGTGGACTATAGTCGTTTCTATAATACAGACTTTAGTCCACTCTTTATAGTCAAAACTAAGCCACGAAAATTTACTTTGTCTCGCTGCCACGCCCACTTTTGTTATTGTTATTCTTTGACAAATCATTTTTGATACTTAATGAATATTGTCTTCTAACTCTTAAAACTATTTTTTTGCCCACAACTGTTTTATAAGCAGCTAATAGATTTCTGGAATTATTTTATTTTTATGAACTGTACTCTAAAGAAATAATTTGTGGGCTGATTTAAATAAGAAACACACCACCAGCAAAGTTCTATTTTCTATACTTTCTGATACAGATAACAAATTTTGAGTGGCAATTGTGTTTTTATTTAGAAAATTCAGAAATGTAAACAAAATAATTTTGGGAGCAATATCGCTAAAATCTCTCAAAAAATCGAATTGTATTTAGCAACATTTTCAAAGGTATATTTAATATTTCGCTTTAAAAGATTATACAATCACTTGTCAAAAGAAAGTGAGAAAGAAAATTACAAAACTATCGCCAAATTTCCAAAATTTTTTAAATTTGACTTCTGCTTACCAGCAGTACAAAGAGACATTCACCTTGAAGATGAAAGTCGCGTGAAATGCATGTTTTTGTCGCGTGAACCGTCAAAGAAAATCTAACACTCTGATAAGTCGAGAAAGAGATGGACAAATGTTGGATTGTCCGAAAAATAATGAATGATTTCTTTTAAGCGATAACCTTAATGACGCAAGACTTGGTTATCAATCCTAAAAACCGGATTAGGACTCAGAGAATAAGTTTTTTTTTTAACAGATGTTAGAGAAGCAGTGATATAATTACAATTAAATAGCATCGATGTCCAATTTTCAATTCAATTTTCCTCTACATCATATTTAAACGAACCATTAATGGTATCAGGTAAGTTGGAAATTGTGGCTGTTAGTTCTATGGACTCTTCGCTTACGTTAGCCTTGCGAAATTGCATTAATATTATTAAATAGGTGGCAATATTAGCTAAAATCTAAAAATGAAAAACAACATTTTATGATAAAATTTCTTTAAGTGTACATATTTTGTTAGAGTAGTACCTTCATCAATGATTTTAAATTTACAGTAAAATAACCATTTGCTCGTATTGTTATGGGATTTTGTAGAATTTGCATGATGAAACTTTGCAATAGAGAATTATAGGATTCATTCGTAGTTCCACTAGATAAAGAGGTCCGTAGCAGGCGTTTTAGATGGGCTAATATCAAATGGCACTGAAAGTAAATAGATTATATAGGAATATCAGGATGAACTAGAATTGAACTAGAACTGAACTAGAACTGAACTAGAACTGAACTAGAACTGAACTAGAACTGAACTAGAACTGAACTAGAACTGAACTAGAACTGAACTAGAACTGAACTAGAACTGAACTAGAACTGACCTAGAACTGACCTAGAACTGACCTAGAACTGAACTAGAACTGAACTAGAAACTGACTAGAACTGAACTAGAACTGAAACTAGAACTGAACTAGAAACTAGAACTGAACTAGAACTGAACTAGAACTGAACTAGAACTGAACTAGAACCTGAACTAGAACTGAACTAGAACTGAACTAGAACTGAACTAGAACTGAACTAGAACTGAACTAGAACTGAACTAGAACTGAACTAGAACTGAACTAGAACTGAACTAGAACTGAACTGAACTGAACTAGAACTGAACTAGAACTGAACTAGAACTGAACTAGAACTGAACTAGAACTGAACTAGAACTGAACTAGAACTGAACTAGAACTGAACTAGAACTGAATTAGAACTAGAACTGAACTAGAACTGAACTAGAACTGAACTAGAACTGAACTAGAACTGAACTAGAACTGAACTAGAACTGAAATAGAACTGAACTAGAACTGAACTAGAACTGAACTAGAACTAAACTAGAACTGAACTATAGACTAAACTATAGTTTAGACTATAATCTATATTGTAGTCCACTATATATGTAGTCTAAGCTGTAGTCGGATAATCGTAGGTCCCTTTACCCACCTGTATCTCACACTGTTCAGCCGTATAGCACATCACAAATAAGATAACATATAAAGGTACCAACGTTGAACAAGTTATATAATTATAATACGATTCATAATATTCGAACACGGTTAAAAAGGTCCAATACATATTTATAATAATATCCAAAACTACCACCGTATATATGCTGGACAATGAGTGGCCATAAAGATCATTGAAACGATCATGCAACGCATATAATGCCTGATAAATATTTTTCAAATTTTGCAAATATTCAAATGACTCCAAATGATCATAATTAATATCCAATAAAATATAATTTCTATCAATTTTACAGGAAATCAAGGCTCTCAATTTAATATCGAACAACTCCATGTAGTAGACTATATAATCTATAAAGTAGATCATTTGTATAATACGAGTTCTTATAATAATAATGGCCATTAGGGCATACCAAAAGTAACCATTATAAGTCTTTATCGCTATAATGATTATAGACACTATTAAACTGCCATGTATGGTTGAAATCAAAAATATATATTTACGTCTTTGACGTTGACGGATCTCCGTTGGATTGAGTTGTATATGTAATAGGTATTTCATTAATTTCTGAACCCTATTGTAATTGTTTATCAATTCATAATATTTGCCATATGTAAACATTGTCTCCAGTAATATTGAGATCACAACTATGATTTGCACACAAAACACCATAATACTGACAAGATTCGATACTATTAAATTATCTTGGAAGGGGAAAAATATTACACCGTACAAGGTTGCTATCAAATTGGCAACAATTAACGTCACAGTGTAAATTTGTTGCCAACGTAGAGGTCTATTACGATAATGATGATGATGATGTTTACTGCTACTACTATTGCTGCGTTGTTGTTGGAAATGATGAAGTTGTTGGAGGTGATAGTGGTGGGGTTTATAGTGATACTGCTGCTGTTTAAATGTCTGTTGTCCACTTGGCTTTATATATGGCACTAGGCCAAATATTGCAAGATATTTAAGATATTTTGTGTGTAAATCGTTTACCATATTGTTGCTGTAGTATAGTAAATAAGATATGACGTCGGCGTCTAACGGCTGCTTGCTATATATATGTAGTATGTGTGTGACTTTATAGGTTACTGTTTAGTTTTTGAAATGTTTGTTGCTTTTGAAAAATTCTTCCTTTTGAAATGTCCCTTTACTAAGTTTGTTTATTTAAAATTGCACTTGTCAAAGATAAGCTTTTTTTTACAATTAATGTTTAAGTAATTTATTAATTTTATTGTAAAATTATTGGCTAAAGGTTGAAGAGGCAAGTGGTATTGCAAAAGCAAATTTAGAGACAAATGTAGTTTTCTTGTGATTAAACAGTAAAATTACAATATCGAAAGCAGTCTTGTAAATATTGTAAGTATATTTCAGCAATAATATACGCAGAATAGTAATTCTTACAAAATTGCTTTTTTGCAACACTGTGTATTGAGTTTTTGTAGGGCGAAATCAAAACAATAGAGAATTTGTTTTGAAATGTGGAGACCAGAAAGAGAGAATGGTTTTCTTAAAATCCGGCTATTGTTCCTAACCGGGGTCAAAAATTTCTCTTCCTTTCATCCGACTGAAAGTGGCAAATTCACAAGAACTTAAATTTGTTTTTAAAATTAGATAAATTTTGTTGTTATAAGTTAACATCGAAAAAAGAATGACGATAAGATAGGTGGTACCTATTAAACTTTTAATCGCAGTACTTAGATCGATATAATAATAACTCTTTGTTAATCAAATTTATTTTGCATTTATCAACAGCATGATTTAAATTATTAATACCGTGTATTTGGTCAAACCTCAGGGTAATTAGAACCCGTGCCCTTTACATTTATTACATTCCTTAGAAATGCTATTTTTTTAAAAATAGGGGGGAAATACCTCACCTAAAGACGTCTCGAAATGGTGAATTACCAAAAGATGGGACTTTTTTAAATTTTTAAGGTTTGGTTTTTAAATTGTATATTAAATTAAAACTGAACTTGAAATTAACTGAACTAGAACTGAACTAGAACTGAACTAAAACTGAACAAGAACTGAACAAGAACTGAACTAGAACTGAACTAGAACTGAACTAGAACTGAACTAGAACTGAACTAGAACTGAACTAGAACTGAACTAGAACTGAACTAGAACTGAACTAGAACTGAACTAGAACTGAACTAGAACTGAACTAGAACTGAACTAGAACTGAACTAGAACTGAACTAGAACTGAACTAGAACTGAACTAGAACTGAACTAGAACTGAACTAGAACTGAACTAGAACTGAACTAGAACTGAACGAGAACTATAGACTAAACTATAAGTTCGACTATAATCTAAATTGTAGTCCACTATATATGTAGTCTAAGCTGTAGTCGGATAATCGTAGGTCCCTTTACCCACCTGTATCTCACACTGTTCAGCCGTATAGCACATCACAAATAAGATAACATATAAAGGTACCAACGTTGAACAAGTTATTAAATTAAAACTGAACTAGAACTGAACTAGAACTGAACAAGAACTGAACAAGAACTGAACAAGAACTGAACAAGAACTGAACTAGAACTGAACTAGAACTGAACTAGAACTGAACTAGAACTGAACTAGAACTGAACTAGAACTGAACTAGAACTGAACTAGAACTGAACTAGAACTGAACTAGAACTGAACTAGAACTGAACTAGAACTGAACTAGAACTGAACTAGAACTGAACTAGAACTGAACTAGAACTGAACTAGAACTGAACTACAACTGAATTAGAACTGAACTAGAACTGAACTAGAACTGAACTAGAACTGAACTAGAACTGAACTAGAACTGAACTAGAACTGAACTAGAACTGAACTAGAACTGAACTAGAACTGAACTAGAAATGAACTAGAACTGAACTAGAACTGAACTAGAACTGAACTAGAACTGAACTAGAACTGAACTAGAACTGAACTAGAACTAGAACTGAACTAGAACTCAACTAGAACTGAACTAGAACTGAACTAGAACTGAACTAGAACTGAAATAGAACTGAACTGAACTGAACTAATGAAATAGAACTGAACTAGAACTGAACTAGAATTGAACTAGAACTGAACTAGAACTGAACTAGAACTGAACTAGAACTGAACTAGAACTGAACTAGAACTGAACCAGAACTGAACTAGAACTGAACTAGAACTGAACTAAACTGAACTAGAACTGAACCAGAACTGAACTAGAACTGAACTAGAACTGAACTAGAACTGAACTAGAACTGAACTAGAACTGAACTAGAACTGAACTAGAACTGAACTAGAACTGAACTAGAACTGAACTAGAACTGAACTAGAACTGAACTAGAACTGAATTAGATAGAACTGAACTAGAACTGAACTAGAACTGAATTAGATAGAACTGAACTAGAACTGAACTAAAACTGAACTAGAACTGAACTAGAACTGAACTAGAACTGAACTAGAACTGAACTAGAACTGAACTAGAACTGAACTAGAACTAGAACTGAACTAGAACTGAACTAGAACTGAACTAGAACTGAACTAGAACTGAACTAGAACTGAACTAGAACTGAACTAGAACTGAACTAGAACTGAACTAGAACTGAACTAGAACTGAACTAGAACTGAACTAGAACTGAACTAGAACTGAACTAGAACTGAACTAGAACTGAACTAGAACTGAACTAGAACTGAACTAGAACTGAACTAGAACTGAACTAGAACTGAACTAGAACTGAACTAGAACTGAACTAGAACTGAACTAGAACTGAACTAGAACTGAACTAAAACTGAACTAGAACTCAACTAGAACTGAACTAGAACTGAACTAGAACTGAACTAGAACTGAACTAGAACTGAACTAGAACTGAACTAGAACTGAACTAGAACTGAACTAGAACTGAACTAGAACTGAACTAGAACTGAACTAGAACCGAACTAGAACTGAACTAGAACTGAACTAAATCTGATATTGGCAATCAAGATAAATTTTAACCTAAAACGGTTTCATTTAAGTAATTCAAGTTTTAGTATAGATTTTCTTATTTTCAAAATACAAAATTTGAAAAGCCCTGTTATCTTTCTAAAGTCGTGCGACTATATATTTTAGATTTGTTCATAACAAAAGCATTTTTGTATTTTGTTTTTATTATTTATTACTGATTAAATTGATTATCTCGTAAACAATATGTACATGTATTTTAATATTTTTTAAAAAAATGTATAATTGAAATCGTATAAATAGCCCTGATTAGAGAGATTTGAGTTTAATACAATATTTTCTGTTCAGGAAAGAACAATACAGAAGAACTTAAACAAACATTATTTATAGAAAAAAAATAAAGTGAAAGTGATTTTTGTAAATAAAATTTTGAAATACTTAATGCATTAATTTAAAATTATAAAGAAAAAATAATTTTATAATTTAAATATAAATAAAATGAATGTAAGTAAAGTGAATTGAATTGAAAGAAAAGTTTATAAAAATATCTAATGTTTCTTTAAAATTTAAAAAAGTTTTGAAATATTGAAATTAAAAAAAATATATTATAATAATTATTTAAATTCCCTCTTTTTTTCCTTTAACTGTTATTTTTAGAGCTCTTTAAGAATAGCCATTATCGGCCAGAGCAATTTCGCCGCCGAAGTTTTGACTTTACTTCTGGAGAAACGTTATAATGTGGTGGGTATCTTCACTATAGCGAATAAGGGTAACCGTGAAGATATTTTAGCCACCACCGCTAGCCAGCATAATATACCGGTATTTAAATTTTCAACATGGCGTCGCAAAGGTGTAGCCATACCAGAAGTATTAGAACAATATCGTTCCGTGCAAGCAAATCTTAATGTTTTGCCCTACTGTTCTCAATTCATACCTATGGAGGTAATAGACGGTGCTGAATTGGGTAGTATTTGTTATCATCCCTCGATATTGCCTAGACACAGAGGAGCTAGTGCTATTTCTTGGACTCTAATAGAGGGTGATGAAGTGGCTGGTTTTAGCATATTTTGGGCTGATGATGGTTTGGATACTGGTCCCATTCTATTGCAAAAACAATGCAATGTAGAGCCCACCGATACCTTGGATACGTTATACAAACGTTTCTTATATCCTCAGGGTATTAAGTCCATGGCTGAGGCTGTAGATTTAGTGGCCCAGGGTAAGGCTCCTAAAATTACTCAAACCGAGGTGGGTGCTACCTATGATCCGGCCATGTTTAAGGCAGAAAATCAATATATTAATTTGAATCAATCGGCCGAAAGAATTTGGAATTTCATTAGAGCTTTGGACTCAGTTCCTGGGGCTTTAGCTACCGTTATTAATGATGATAATACAGAGGAAAATATTAGATTATTTGGTGCCCATATCTATGAAGATATTACCGTTAAATCGGATCAGTTTATAAGACTTAAAGGTTTAAACACGCCCGCCTATATACATGAACGTGGTCTGTTAATCCAGGGCACTGACAATAAATATGTTAATGTGCGTCGCTTGAAGAAGGGCTCGAAAATGATTAATGCCTGTGATTGGTTTAAACAGTCTCAAGCCCCTCAAATTACCAACTTTACTGAGGATGAGTTAACCAAGAAAGAGATTTTAGCGAATATTTGGTTGTCCATTTTGAAATGCCCCATAGAGGCCGATACTGACTTCTTTGCTGCCGGTGCTGGTTCCATGGATGTTGTCCGATTGGTAGAGGAATGTAAGGATGCTTTTGATGTGCCCTTGGAAAATGAACAGGTGTTCATGGCTCCCGTTTTTGAGGAATTCTACTGTGAAATTGTTAAGGCCTTGAGACAAGGCTCCTCTGGAGACAATTCAAAGGTTCACTATGATGGTTTCGTTTTAAAGGCCAATAAAAAGGAAATACCCATTCCCACCCAACTGTTTATCAATGGCCAGTTTGTGGATGCTGAGAATCGTAAAACTTTGGACATTATTAATCCTGCCAATGAGGAATTGATCTGTCAAGTGGCCTGTGCCTCTAGTAATGATGTGGATAAGGCTGTTCAAGCTGCTCATCAAGCATTTTATGGTGCTTGGCGTCAAGTATCGGCCAGACAAAGAGGTCAACTTATGCTTAAATTGGCTGATTTAATGGAAGAACAGAAAGAGGAATTGGCCACCATAGAATCGGTGGATTCGGGTGCTGTTTATACATTGGCTTTAAAGACCCATATTGGTATGTCTATAGATGCTTGGCGTTACTTTGCCGGTTGGTGTGATAAGATACAAGGTTCCACTATACCCGTTAATCCCGCCAGACCTAATAATGTCTTGACTTTTACCAAAAAGGAACCCATAGGGTAAGTTGTAGCAAAACCTTTTAGTTTCTTTAAGATATTAATTTCTTGTTTAATTTTTCTTTAGTGTTGTGGGTTTGGTTACTCCCTGGAATTATCCTTTGATGATGTTGTCCTGGAAAATGGCTGCCTGTGTAGCTGCCGGCAATACCTGCTTAATTAAACCGGCCCAGACATGCCCTTTAACCGCCCTTAAGTTTGCAGAACTTACTGTTAAGGCCGGTTTCCCACCCGGTGTTATCAATGTGGTCCTGGGTACTGGATCGGGTGCTGGCCAGGCCATTGCTGATCATGCTTTAGTTAGAAAATTGGGTTTCACCGGTTCTACTGGTATTGGCAAGGTGGTAATGCGTTCTTGTGCGGATTCAAATTTGAAAAAATGTTCCATGGAACTGGGTGGCAAGAGTCCTTTGGTGATATTTGCTGATTGTGATTTTGAAAAGGCTGTTAAACATGTAAGTTTTAGTTTTTTATAAAATCTCGGTACAAACTAAATATATCTCTCAATATTTCCAGGGTATGTCCTCGGTCTTCTTTAATAAAGGTGAAAATTGCATAGCTGCCGGTCGCATCTTCGTGGAAGACACCATTCATGACGAATTTGTGAGAAGAGTAGTTAAGGATATACAATCCATGACCATAGGCGATCCTCTTAATCGCTCTACTGCCCATGGTCCACAAAATCATCGTGCCCATTTCGAGAAACTTATAGAATTCTGTCAACGTGGTGTTGAAGAGGGCGCCAATTTAGTGTATGGCGGCAAGCCGGTACCCAATATGAAGGGTTACTTCTTTGAACCCACCGTTTTCACCAATGTCGAGGATCATATGTATATAGCTCAAGAGGAATCGTTTGGACCCATTATGATTATTAGCAAATTCCATGGTAGTGATGTGGAATCGGTTATGCGTAGAGCCAATCGCACTGAATATGGTCTGGCCAGTGGTGTCTTTACTAAGGATATTAGTAAGGCTCTGTCTTTCGCCGAGAATATTGAGGCGGGTACTGTGTTCGTTAATGTTTACAATAAGACTGATGTGGCAGCACCATTTGGTGGTTTCAAGCAAAGTGGTTTTGGCAAAGATTTGGGCCAGGAAGCTCTAAATGAATATCTTAAGACTAAATGTGTAACAGTAGAATTTTAGATTAGATTAAGTGTTTAGTATTAAGTTAGTTTTAAGTAAATATTAAGCTTTAAAGTAATAAACAGAAAAGTAAATGTGTGTAAACTTTGACAAATGTTTGAAATTAAAATAGTAAGTCCGAGGGAACTTTACTTTTCGGAATAAAATTGCATAAAACAATAATTTTCATAAAAATCACTAAGAAAATGTTCAAAATATCTGAACTGTAACCCTAAATCTCAAGTCTTCGTAGCTTTCCTTTGTGATTATTACTTCTCCTTTAAAAAATTCCTTTTATTTACACTTTTCTTCTTAAAATAACCATATTTGACCTTGTCCTAATTGCCATGTAGTAAATTGCAAATAGTTGTTTAGAAGTGACTAGAAATCTTATACGAATTGTCCCAACCATTATAGACACTCTTTATTACTAACCCTCTTTAAAATCGATTTTTGTTTTTTTTTTTCGTATGTATTACTTTTAATTTACTAACGTGGCGTGCATGTCCAAGTTTATATGGTCGTTAAACATTGACATGCCACCACCACCATCTCTAACACTCTCGAGTCACGGTACAAGAATACAAAGTAATAAGGTGGCGTATTGATACGGAAAGAGATTTTTTACTGAAGGGCCAAACCAGTAATCAAAGTAGTCTATAGTCTAGTCTATAGTCTAGTCTATAGTCTAGTCTATAGTCTAGTCTATAGTCTAGTCTATAGTCTAGTCTATAGTCTAGTCTATAGTCTAGTCTATAGTCTAGTCTATAGTCTAGTCTATAGTCTAGTCTATAGTCTAGTCTATAGTCTAGTCTATAGTCTAGTCTATAGTCTAGTCTATAGTCTAGTCTATAGTCTAGTCTATAGTCTAATCTATAGTCTAGTCTATAGTCTAGTCTATAGTCTAGTCTATAGTCTAGTCTATAGTCTAGTCTATAGTCTAGTCTAGTCTATAGTCTAGTCTAGTCTATAGTCTAGTCTAGTCTATAGTCTAGTCTATAGTCTAGTCTATAGTCTAGTCTATAGTCTAGTCTATAGTCTAGTCTAGTCTATAGTCTAGTCTATAGTCTAGTCTATAGTCTAGCTATAGTCTAGTCTATAGTCTAGTCTATAGTTCTAGTCTATAGTCTAGTCTATAGTCTAGTCTATAGTCTAGTCTATAGTTAGTCTATAGTCTAGTCTAGTCTAGTCTATAGTCTAGTCTATAGTCTAGTCTAAGCTAGTCTATAGTCTAGTCTATAGTTAGTCTATAGTCTAGTCTATAGTCTAGTCTATAGTCTAGGTCTATAGTCTAGTCTATAGTCTAGTCTATAGTCTAGTCTATAGTCTAGTCTATAGTTAGTCTATCGTCTAGTCTATAGTCTAGTCTATAGTCTCGTCTATAGTCTAGTCTATAGTCTAGTCTATAGTCTAGTCTATAGTCTAGTCTATAGTCTAGTCTATAGTCTTCGTCTATAGTCTAGTCTATAGTCTAGTCTATAGTCTAGTCTATAGTCTAGTCTATAGTCTAGTCTATAGTCTAGTCTATAGTCTAGTCTATAGTCTAGTCTATAGTCTAGTCTATAGTCTAGTCTATAGTCTAGTCTATAGTCTAGTCTATAGTCTAGTCTATAGTCTAGTCTATAGTCTAGTCTATAGTCTAGTATATAGTCTAGTATATATTGTCTAGTCTATAGTCTAACATAAAGTCTAGTCTATAGTCTAGTCTATAGTCTAGTCTATAGTCTAGTCTATAGTCTAGTCTATAGTCTAGTTTATAGTCTAGTCTATAGTCTAGTCTATAGTCTAGTTTATAGTCTAGTCTATAGTCTAGTCTATAGTCTAGTCTATAGTCTAGTCTATAGTCTAGTCTATAGTCTAGTCTATAGTCTAGTCTATAGTCTAGTCTATAGTCTATAGTCTAGTCTATAGTCTTGTCTAGTCTATAGTCTAGTCTATAGTCTAGTCTATAGTCTAGTCTATAGTCTAGTCTATAGTCTAGTCTATAGTCTAGTCTATAGTCTAGTCTATAGTCTAGTCTATAGTCTAGTCTATAGTCTAGTCTATAGTCTAGTCTATAGTCTAGTCTATAGTCTAGCCTATAGTCTAGTCTATAGTCTAGTTTATAGTCTAGTCTATAGTCTAGTCTATAGTCTAGTCTATAGTCTAGTCTATAGTCTAGTCTATAGTCTAGTCTATAGTCTAGTCTATAGTCTAGTCTATAGTCTAGTTTGTAGTCTAGTCTATAGTCTAGACTATAGTCTAGTCTATAGTCTAGTCTATAGTCTAGTCTATAGTCTAGTCTATAGTCTACTCTATAGTCTACTCTATAGTCTAGTCTATAGTCTAGTCTGCTTAGAACATTCCATATAGAAAATCTGCTTAGAAAAGTTTTTGTTGTAGTCTATAGTCTAGTCTATAGGCTAGTCTATAGTCTAGTCTATAGTCTAGTCTATAGTCTAGTCTATAGTCTAGTCTATAGTCTAGTCTATAGTCTAGTATATAGTCTAGTCTATAGTCTAGTCTATAGTCTAGTCTATAGTCTAGTCTATAGTCTAGTCTATAGTCTAGTCTATAGTCTAGTCTATAGTCTAGTCTATAGTCTAGTCTATAGTCTAGTCTATAGTCTAGTCTATAGTCTAGTCTATAGTCTAGTCTATAGTCTAGTCTATAGTCTAGTCTATAGTCTAGTCTATAGTCTAGTCTATAGTCTAGTCTATAGTCTAGTCTATAGTCTAGTCTATAGTCTAGTCTATAGTCTAGTCTATAGTCTAGTCTATAGTCTAGTCTATAGTCTAGTCTATAGTCTAGTCTATAGTCTAGTCTATAGTCTAGTCTATAGTCTAGTCTATAGTCTAGTCTAAAGTCTAGTCTATAGTCTATTCTACAGTCTAGTCTATAGTCTAGTCTATAGTCTAGTCTATAGTCTAGTCTATAGTCTAGTCTATAGTCTAGTCTATAGTCTAGTCTATAGTTAAGTCTATAGTCTAGTCTATAGTCTAGTATATAGTCTAGTATATATGTCTAGTCTATAGTCTAACATAAAGTCTAGTCTATAGTCTAGTCTATAGTCTAGTCTATAGTCTAGTCTATAGTCTAGTCTATAGTCTAGTTTATAGTCTAGTCTATAGTCTAGTCTATAGTCTAGTCTATAGTCTAGTCTATAGTCTAGTCTATAGTCTAGTCTATAGTCTAGTCTATAGTCTAGTCTATAGTCTAGTCTATAGTCTAGTCTATAGTCTAGTCTATAGTCTAGCCTATAGTCTAGTCTATAGTCTATAGTCTAGTCTAGTCTATAGTCTTGTCTAGTCTAGTCTATAGTCTAGTCTATAGTCTAGTCTATAGTCTAGTCTATAGTCTAGTCTATAGTCTAGTCTATAGTCTAGTCTATAGTCTAGTCTATAGTCTAGTCTATAGTCTAGCCTATAGTCTAGTCTATAGTCTAGTTTATAGTCTAGTCTATAGTCTAGTCTATAGTCTAGTCTATAGTCTAGTCTATAGTCTAGTCTATAGTCTAGTCTATAGTCTAGTCTATAGTCTAGTCTATAGTCTAGTCTATAGTCTAGTCTATAGTCTAGTCTAGTCTATAGTCTAGTTTGTAGTCTAGTCTATAGTCTAGACTATAGTCTAGTCTATAGTCTAGTCTATAGTCTAGTCTATAGTCTAGTCTATAGTCTAGTCTATAGTCTACTCTATAGTCTACTCTATAGTCTAGTCTATAGTCTAGTCTGCTTAGAACATTCCATATAGAAAATCTGCTTAGAAAAGTTTTTGTTGTAGTCTATAGTCTAGACTATAGTCTAGTCTATAGTCTAGTCTATAGTCTAGTTTGTAGTCTAGTCTATAGTCTAGACTATAGTCTAGTTTATAGTCTAGTCTATAGTCTAGTCTATAGTCTAGTCTATAGTCTACTCTATAGTCTACTCTATAGTCTAGTCTATAGTCTAGTCTGCTTAGAACATTCCATATAGAAAACCTTCTTAGAAAAGTTTTTGTTAACCAAACTTTCAGTGAAACTTAAAACATGTCCGATTTTGGGGGATATCCCTACGGTCGTGTCGGAAAAGAACAATTGACTTTTAGTGGTAAATATTTAGCTACAATTACACATTTGCTTAATATTTAAGTTGGGTAAATGGGAACAATTAAAACGTTTGTAACAAACATAGAAAGATATGTTAAAATCAAAAGTTTCTAAAAAGGCGAATATCAAGAGAGCTTGCTTTTTACGGTTTTAGCAAGGTGAATTAATAGACGAATTCAGGAAATAAAACGATTTCATAACATTTTTCATATAAGGAATCTGACAGCTTTAGTTGTGGGTGTTTGGTTTATTGTTTAAATTATTTAACTTTTAATGAATTCGGCTTGTTATTTGTTATTATTATTCACTCTGTAAATGTGAGAGTAAATACAACTCTGTTTAAGTTTACTACCAATAGAAACAACCTTGGGTGCTTAAGGTAAACTATGAAAACAACTCTGCAGATTAACTTTAATTATAATTAATTTTAAAATAGTTTAAGTTATTTTCTATTTTCTAGACAAACATTGAAAATATCAAATATTTTAGAACTGGGAGTACAACATGAGTAGGGTTATGAATAGTTTGTCTTTAACATGTCTTAATTTATTCACACATGTAAGCTTAACATTTACAATTTATTCCACTTATACATACGATACACAAACTAACACTTAATAAAGTGGGTCATTTTATAGCTATAGTTAAGTACTTCCCTCGATACATTGTTCCTAAAATTCTCTAACATTATATTTAAAATCGTAACTTCTACTTTGCCTCTTGCTCTTCCATAAACTGATTTTTTTTTTAGTTTACAGACCTTTTTACACTATTGTTTACACAAATAATAAAAACAAAGTTGAAATGATTGTTTCTTTTTGTTTTAGTTCCTGAATTAGTTCATGTATTTAGTGCGAGTACAGGGTTCTGTTGTTTGTTTGACATGTTGTAACATGTTAAGTTTAACATTTTTTTAAAAGACATGTTTGTTGTATGCTTTGTTTTATTCTTTTTGTTTAAATCATGACAATGTCTTCGCTTGTTTTAATTTGTTACAAAATCTTCTTTTTGGTGGTATGGCTAAGGAAAAGCCAACCTAAATTAAAACGTAGTTTATAAAACAAAATGTAATTATTTTGAAATATTAATATCTAAAATAATTGTGTTGG